TATTTGGGAAACTTTCCATTGGCAACAAGGGGAGATGAGGCTTTGGTTATGATGGAGCTTTTCAAGCAACATCCCTATTTCTGTTTACAATCATTTAACTAAGATCTGCTACATTATTCCATGGACCTCTTCCAATACAGTTTATGTTCATACTACAAAGTGGGATATAATACTTTTTTAGATTTTTTTTTCAGGAAAATGGCTAGCACATCCTTCAAAGAATGAACAATCAAGGACTGCAATGCATTGTCTGATTTTCCATCTAGTAAAGGCACATGACCTAGATTTGTAAACTTTAATTCTGTCTCTCAAGAAAATACAATATGTAATTCTGGGAGCTTCAGAAATAAGCAAAACCTGATTTCCGATGCATCTGTGCTTTGAGAATGATGGTCTTTGAAGACTATAAGGTATAAAAAAAGATCTGACTGAGGTTCTTTCTCTGGGGGAGTCAGTTAGGGTTGATGCTAATGTCTAGCAAAATTAAGCATTTCCTCTTCATTCAGGGACTTGTATAAATATTTTCCTACAGGTTAATTAACTTCTAAACTTTGATGTTTTCTGAAATTTATTTACAAGCGACCATTAGCTCATGGACAGAAAGACCACATGAGCACTTTCACTTCCACTCAGAGACAAGTGTGCATTCAATAAAACTGCTAAAGCTTTATGTGTTTAAGAACTAGTTCTTAGAAGCACACAGACTTAAAGCTTCTCACTCTGCAGATGAAAATGCAGAAATATAATAAATGTTTACTAAATGATCTCAACCATTTTTCAGTACAATTTAATTATTTTTCTATTCCTCTGATAATCTTCAAATCCTATTTTAAAAAGCTACATCAGTATTATTTGCAGTTGTAGCTTCTTTCATAAAATTTAGCCATTTAAATCCCATGCATTTGAATAATCTTTTTATACCAGGTAAACGTGCAATGAACTTGTGAGTCTTCAGGGACTGCACCAGTGGGCTTTTTTCACTTTAAACAGCTGTGTTGTTACAATTCTTTTTACATATGACTTGAGGATACCCATTTGCTTCACAATTAAGAGTTTAGCACCTTGTAAATGCTCAGCTAACCGCACTGTTGATTGCTGTGTTTACTTTATGTGTTCTTGTATAAATAGAAAATATTCTTCTTAAAAGTGAATGTTTTAAAGGTTCACGTTATCTTCCTTGCATATCTCATGTTATTCACTTCTTACTTTTCCTTCTCCTCAGTGTCCAGAGATATTATTGATAAAGGCTTGCAGGCTTCATGATATCTTATCTATTCTCTGCTCCCAAGCAAGCTTTTTGCTTTGTAGAAAGCAATGCTGAATGATTTCCTCAGCGGTGGCCACGAAAAACTGAGCTGGCTTTAGAACAAAATCACCAGTAACAAAGAAAGTAATCTTATGTTTGTAATAAACTGAAATAGACTGGAGAGAGAAAAAAGAAAAAAAAGTTATACTTAAGTACTTAAGATCAGTATTTGGCTTTGTTCTTGTCTATGTGCCTGAGACTCTCTGCAGGTAAATTATTTTTGCTTTCATCTCTCCTAATATTTCTATCCATCGGAATCTTCAAATTCCCTTAAGATTGTCTTTAGATAAAATTAGAAGCATAACTACTTGATAAATGGGAGCATTCTTCTGTAAACAAACAATACAATGTCAGCATTTCTGTCATCAGATCTCTGAGTGTATTTAACATATCTGCTGTGAATAGCTTATGAACTGTCCCCATAATGTGGGGGGAATTTATCTAACCAAACGTAGATGCAGCTGAGCCAGTCACTCATTATAGCCAGCAGAATGAGTATTTTCAGGGTTCACTACACCTCATGCCAAAGTAGCCTTGTAGGGTGCTTGCACTGCAATCCACCGTTGTATATTTGACTTAAAAATGTAGAGAGATCATTCATTTTTCTCCATTATCCTTTGAGAAGAAACTTAGGCTGGTTAGCTCAGATGCCTATGCCTATCACAAACAGACTCTCAAATTGAGTTAGGATTTCCATACCAGAGACCACTTCTTTTTGCTGAAACATGAGTGAATTTTTATTTAAATTTCTCCTTGATCATGCTCTTCACAAGTGAAGGCTGCTGAGAAGTGGCCAGTAAATGGCCAAAAACTTTGGACTTCCTTCTAGCCTCTGGAGTAGCCTGCACATATTGTCAAACTTCTTAGTTTCTGTGGAAGTCTGCAAGGATTAAGGAGTCTTTAGAAATCCATTTCTTAAGACATAGTCTGTGACTTTGACATCTCAATCAAGGGTGAAGCTGATTTATGAACAACACAAGCGGTAGCATCTAGTTCAGGTATTCAGAGTTCTGGATCTTTTACTGAACACCTGCTTGATCTTGTTTTGGACAAAGAACACAAATATTTCTCTGCTGACACTGTGTAGGATTGTCAATGAAGACAATTAATATAAACCATTCTCAACACCTATAATAATTCATGAGCCTGCACATTTAAGAAGATCATTTTTGTTTACGTGTTTTCTGTCTCACATTCACAGAGATAAAGCTCTTGTCAGACATCCTGCAGTAAGTCTGATAGGACTTGTGGGTTAACTTCTCCTTAGGTTGATAATGCTCAGCAGCAGCTGATGCATCCCCAAAAGATTTGTCAGCTTGGAAATAATTTCCAGAAATATGCAGGACTTCTCAGCTAGCCTGCACGTCTGGGGGATGCCATTAACCAACTCTGGCATATGAGCTAAACATAGCATTGTTCAATAATGTACTGTCCAGAAAGAAAATGGGAACACTGAGGATGATGCTGCATGTCAGCATTCATGATGAGAATGCAATGGTCATACTGCAAGGTAAAGATGATGAGCAGCAAGGCAGGTGACAGCAGCTCAGATGACAGCATCCAAATACTCAGGACTGATATAATTAGCAAAGGTGGACTAAGCAGGCAGCCACACATCACAGAAGGAGTACTTTGCACATGAATGAACTTCAGAGAGCTGCTAAAAAAGGCTGCTAGTCTCTCTCTTGAAACCTAGGCTCAGTTTACTGAAAAACTGAAGAGACCGGGAGCCTGCAAAGTCCAACTGCTGTGCTTATACCACAGAATATACTACTAAGATGATGTTAGAGAATAGCAGGGTTTTGCTAGGAGTCTTTTTTACTTTCTTACTTCCAAATTAATACAAACATATCTTCTCCTCTGGCCTTCCCTCCGCGCCACCCCTCCCCCCCCTCCCCAGATAATGACAGTCTAAAATTAGTTCTTTGTAAGAAAAAGAAACTGCAAATTTATGGAACAACACAAGAATAACAGTTATTTTTTTAAAAAAATCATCATTAGAGAATAGCAGGGTTTTGCTAGGAGTCTTTTTTACTTTCTTACTTCCAAATTAATACAAACATATCTTCTCCTCTGGCCTTCCCTCCGCGCCACCCCTCCCCCCCCTCCCCAGATAATGACAGTCTAAAATTAGTTCTTTGTAAGAAAAAGAAACTGCAAATTTATGGAACAACACAAGAATAACAGTTATTTTTTTAAAAAATCATCATTAAAATTGCATTTGAATTATGCAGAATTTAACAATGTGAAAAAAAATCTGAAAACACTGAACTATGGAAAAAAAGAAATTCTTATAGACATCCTCTAAAAACTTAGTGGGTCTGTTGCATTAAATACAGCGATCACAAAACAAAACTGCTAAGGTAACAACCCTGAAGCACACTAAACAAGTCTAATGTTATATCCATTTCATTATGAGTTATCAGAAACATGATTAAACCCAGCACTTTTTAAAACTTTGCTATATACCTCGATACATTTTAAAATTTGAAAAAGTTTTTTATAGTAAGTGTCTTTGTAGTAATTGACATACTGTTTCTGAGCATTTTAAGACTTGCAGATTATAGCTTCTCTCATCTCTATTAATGCTGTGAATTGCTTGAAGACTGTATAATTAAATGTTTTTGATAATTAGTTCATGTTAATGACTTTAAAGAAAAAAGAACAACCATAAAAGGTAAATAAATTAACAGTTAATCATGGAAACTTACTATTGATTACTACCAATTGCTTCTAGCATGGGCATGCTCTTTTACTACTCTCAATTATTGTAAGAAAGATTTCTCTGTTACTTAGAATTTTTTTGGCATAGCATTTTTTACCCCTCTCTACATCTGTTAAAGTAAGCACATACATTCTTAGGGTTTTTTTCTCTACATCTAATATATGTAAATAAGGATAAGAACTTCCCAGTACATTCTAATTAAAAGGGCATAATTCTATAAAGTGAAAATTAACATAAATGTAATTTTAATTTTTATTTTTTTTTACTTTGACAGCATTAAATATCTCAGCCAGAAACAGGACAATTTAAGCACAGATGTCTTATGTCAGTAAAATAATGAAAATACCTGAGAAGGAATAAGATTTCTATATTCATAGATAGTATGAGTAAATTAAAAAAAAAATGTTAAAGAGAAATCTAACCTTGTTTTAATGCAAGGCATAAGAAATAAAATGCCCTGAAATGAAAAACCCACTAGATAGTTTGTCAATTAATAGCTCATATATGAGCTAATGCTGTTCTCATTCTTACTTTAATTGCCCCAACAGTTTTACCTTTTGTAGCCTCTCCAATCTGTTCATTTTAAGTATTTCTCAGGAAGCCTGTTGGAGATGGAATGTAGACCACCATCACAGAGTTTCACTCTCTAGGAGTTGCTGCAAACTGTAGGCTAGTGAAATTCTGCACATCTTAAACTCCTCAGCCCTGGGGCTGAAGATGGCCTGCAACTTTATTGCATGTCACTAGGGATGGTGTAATTTTTTCCTTCTACATTACTTCTGGCCAACACTCAGCTAGGCTTTAATTTATGGCTTACCAGTGTGACTGAAAGAGCAATCTGGCCCTCAGTAAGGGAGAGGATATTCCCGGTTTAATTGAGTACGTAAAATTCGACTTTGTGCCTTCTTGAGTTTTCCATGGAAAGTGTGGCTCGCTGAAGTGGACAGTAACTGTTAGGAGTGTACTTACTGCATTGAAGTTGGGGAAGAGATTGACTGCTGCGGCTGTGTCCAGAGGGAACGGAAGAAATGGTTTAATATCCAGCGATGGCTGCAAAGGCGGAGCAGGAGGACGCACTAGGGCTGGAAGAGCAGGGCTCTGGCATGTACCACCTAGGTGTAGAAAGAGACAGAAGGCATTCAGCAAGTACTATGATTAGGGAAGAAAACCCACAATCACGACACACAAAAAAGCAACAACAGAAAGCCACTATTGAATTAAATAAATACCTTTTTTTTTTTTTTAAATTTGTCCACAAACTACTGCATTATTGAAAAAAAAAGCACAGCTGACTCGGTGACTGTTGGTTATAATTCTTTGCCAGTAATTTCTGCAGGTATAAAGCATTTCAGCTAATTAACTGTTTCTCTCCTTGGATTATCTGGAACCACAGATCAGCATATGCCTGATCTCTCTTTAGAACTTCAGCTAGTCTCATTCTGCTGTAATTTCAGTGTTTCACCCCGCCATATAACTCAACCCTTCTAAGGCAAAATGCTCCGGAAGAAAAAGAGCACAAGCTAGCCATTCTGCTCAGTAAAACTCCTGTAACTTGCAGACTTTTGCTTTTTTAATTAAATGCTCACTCATGGAGCTTGCACCTTCAGAATCAACCTAAACCTTGCAACCACAACATACCTGTCTGCCTTCAACAGCTGCTCAGTACAAATCTAACATAAAAACTATTTCAGCAGCCACCAAAATTCTGTTTACGGAAACGTACTGATGAACACTTTTTGCTCTTGCAAGGGGTGGAGCTGATTCAGACTGTGCAGCAGAAAGCTCCTCCTGGCTAACCCTACCAACCAGCAGCTCTGTGGGAACATAATGCAAATTAAGAAATCCCCTTGCATACCAATAAGTTGCTCCCTGCTTACAGTGGATCCTGTTTTATTTATTTGTTTGTCCCTTGCCACAGCCAGTGAAAACCTGGAAGTATTCAAACCCTTTCTCTGCTTCCAGTGTCTCCCATGTTTTGGTTGTACTCCAATACATACTTTCCTAGTTAATTAAAGAGTATTTGGATCCTAGGAAAGTGTTAAAATATGCCAGTCTTCTAATCTAAGAGGCAGGCAACAGACTGTAAAAAACTTGCTGGTAAGAGTCCAAGAAACACACAAAACCACAAAACATAGGGGAGTTTTGTCCCCCTCATTGAACAGAGACACAGGCTGAGAGACCAACAGAGAGAGAGATCTGAAATCTGTTTCTTTTTTATTTCTGGTACATACAGACACTTCATTAGACAAGCTGCATACATTCTTTAAGAGCTGAAATGTAGTCAAAATGATATAAGGAATCTCTCCATATTTGGCCAGCAAATCTGCAAACAATGTTTGCAATTTAATGCGTCTAATTGCGGGCTAACAGCACAGGATTTAATTAATCAGTTGTAGTAGATCATCCACAGTTCTGCTTCTAAGTATAAAATCATCTGGAGCCAAATTTTCAAAGACAGTATTTTTTGCCAGCTCTCAGCTCCTCTTGTATGAAGCCTTTCACTACCCTCAAGAAAACCAAAAGTTTTGGATTAGAGTTCCCTTCAGTCTCACAATAGTTTTCACCCTAGAATAACTGTCATTTTTGGAGTAATTCCTACATCTCCTTCAACGTAAGGGCATAATAAATCATTCTTTGAATGCAACAGCTAAGAATATAGGCTACAGAAAAGCAGAGGGCAAGCAGCTCTGCTTGCCACAGCTCACCAGCATAAAGCCATCAAGTATTTAATAATTGCCCTTGGTTTGGCAACTGCTATATGTAAAAATAAATTTAACAGGTCAGAATGATGATAAGGTTATTCAAACAGGCCACTCTTATCCTTTCTGGATAGGAAAGGACTATAAAGACATTTTTTTAGATGCTGGAAATACCTTTTTCTCATGTAAATCTTTTACAGATGGTGAAAGGAAAAAGTTACTTCTCTTAATAAAAACCTTACTAAAACGTCTCCAGGTTGCACCTGAAGTTGTACAGAATCTCACAGTCATGCCAAGGTGAGCATTTGCCTGATGATAGCAAAGAAATGGAAGCTGATTAAACATCCTCAAACTCACAGATGCTTTAGGACCCAGCTCTTCAAGTGGATTATCTCAGTGCTATGGAGGAGAGCCTTGCTGGTTTGAATTACCTAGAGCAACAGCATCTCTATCCCATATTCTTCTAAAATAGTGCACTATGAAAGATGAAATAGGTCTTTCTGTCATCCCTCTCTGTGGCATGACTCACCCACCTGGTACTGCCAGCCAGTGCTGCACAAAGTCATCTAGGGACAAGAAGGAAAAATTCAAGCCAGCTCTGTAGGACTTTGGCTGCGATTCTGAGCCTCTGGAACACAGCTTAAAATTTACCATAGTCCTGGCTACAACAGCACAGAAAATTACTAAGTTCAGGAGCATAGCTGCTCTCTGTTTTTGCAATAGTGTCAGACATGTCCCTTAATGATGGAGCATGTGAGAGGTATAATGAAATTTGAGCTTTTGCTTGAAATAAATTATCTAATGTTTATAGCTGCAAAAATTAGCTTCTCTTTCCACTTCATGTACAGAGTCATACTTCAGAATCAGCAACATAAAACCTGAAGCAAACCACTTTTGTGACTCAGCCTAATTGAAAAACCTTTGGACAACATTTGGGAATGTCAATGTTAACTATTCCTCATCTAACCGTTTAGCAGAGGGATGGAGAAGGATAGAAGCCCACTTGGAAGAGTTCTTGAAGACCAGATATAGAGGAATTCTTATTGTAAAGAAGGCAACATCATGGGCAGAAAGGAGGACAGAAGGAAAATGTGAGAACACAGAAAGCTGAATGGAAGGGAAGAAGACTGCACTAAAATTCATAAAGCAGAATTCACCTTGTAGGTCTGTGGTGCTATTTGTAACAACAGCATATTTAGAAAATTGCTGTAGCGAAACATGGATGCTTTTTAGTTATCCAGTCTTACTGAACACCACCTTTCTCATCTGTACCTGAAAACAAGGGAAGACCATAGAAACACTCAGAATATTCCTGCAGATTCAGCCTCAAACTGTCCATTCCATAAGGAATTGCCACATTTTATTTGTTTTGAGTTGAAATATGAATAAATACCAGTTTAGACAGACACACATCCAGTTTTTACTTTAGAGACCATGTTTCTCTATGGAACTGAAAACAGTCATCCCAAAATAAGAACCCAAATTTATTTTAAATTGCTAGAATTTTTACCTTACAGATATTTATGTCACAATTCTTTTTTTAAAAAAAATAACACCTTCTGGGGGAAATTTTTGCTTTCAATGAAATCTAATTTTCTGTTAAGAAAATCTCCTGTGCAAATTTTTGTGCCTAGTTCACCTGAAATATCCCTCAGATCAGTGCTAGGTAAAAAGTATAAAGAACTGTAAGTACTGATCCTAAAATCTGGATTAAGAGAAGCACAATGACTGAATATGCACAAAGGAAACAAAAGAAAATAGCTTTAAACACACATGATAGAGAAGGTATTTTGGTGTTTGTTTGTTTGTGTTTTTTTATTACAGGATAATAAATAACAAGTTTTCTAAACTTTCTGGAGGAGGCCAAGATCCCTGTCCTTTAAGTTCTCTAAAAAAACAGCTCGACAGGTTGTCAACCACACATTGCTATACTCTGTGACTTAGATATAGAGAAAGATATGAAACATCTTACCCTGCATAGCCTTTCTTCATGCATGCTCCCATTCCCAATCCTTTAAACTCAACTGCAGATTTAGTTTCCAGAAAAAGAATCACTAGATCTATTATCAAATAGCATCTCCTAAGGAATATCTAGCCCAATTTTGGCAGACACAAATAATCCAGACAATTCTTTGCAATGCATTTGGAGCTTGAAGGTATGTAAACTGGGCAGGAAATCTAAACTAATACCTCGTTAATCTAAATCTTTTGCAGTTCTTCCATCATTAACTATTACCACCATAAACACCAAGTGAAAAAGCAAACCTCTGCAGAATTCCATTTTCATTCCTTCATTACTTTGCAATTCTTTCTTTCTGGCCACAGGTCCAGCTATTTTCAATACATCAGAGACACTCTAAACTAACGCTCAATCCCCTTCCATCCTGAGTTTGTTTTCAGTATCATAATTTGGTTTTTCCAAGATATGGATATTCCCATATTTTCCACCCTGTCTCATGCTTCTCCAAATATTTCCATAAGAGCTTATTAGAGGTTAAAACAATACACACATTCTGCCTTGGCAGAAGCTTTCAGCTGGTATGACTCAGTGGAGTAGCTGGAAAGGCACCACTGGTTTAAAACTTAAAAGTTAACTTTAGGCAACTTAAAAAGTTAACTTTAAAACATATGTGGTAGGGTGTTTTTTTTGTTTGGATTTTGTTTGTTTGTTTGTTGTTGTTTTGTTTTTATATATACACAATACTAGTATCTGACAGCTCACACCCAATAAGGATTACAATATATCCTCGATAGTCTGAGCCAAAAAAGGATTATTTTTTTTTTTCCTAGACAATTTTCAAAAAAAGTAACTCAGGTTATTTTAAAGTATTAAAGTGAAGGTATATGTGGGGAGCTCATGTTCTATCTTATAGATGGTAGGAAACTTGCATTTGGAAAACTCAATATAAGATTGAACTTATTATTAATTTAGTTTGAAAACGGACAAAAGAAAAGGTATATTTGAAAATATTTTCTTCAAAAAGAAAGACATAAGCAGTTAAGAACAGTAGGCTAGCCATGATGAATAATGAACTTTCTGTATCTCAAATATGAACTATCACATCTTAGTCTTCAAGCAAAAAAATAACTCTCAGGGATATAACAAAGACAATGCAACATGAATTGTAGATCTGACTTTTAGAAACTAGCCTAATGTGTCATGACCTGTAGTCACTATGGTACTCCCTTCTATCACTGTATTCATTTTGGCAACTGATACTATTCTTAAAAACTGCAGGATCATCACTTTAAAGGTAAGTTTAGTTCCATAATAAATAGCATTGGTGATCTAACCCGACATGACAAAATAGGCTTTGGCTAATCATCAAATTACTTAGTAGTTATTATACTACTCAAGGGACTAAAATATGAACTTACCTTACAGAAAGTTAGCAAATATGCAACTTGTCCCTTTTATGTGCATAAATGGATACACTTAATTTTAAATATTTTATTTTCATATTAATTTTAATAAACTGCATATTATTCCACATGAACTGGAAGAAAGTTATGTAGGAACAAATCATGTGATGCCTGTTGAGAATTTATTGCTCAGAAAACCTATTTTCTAGCCATTTATACTTTTAGAACACAGTTCCTTGTAAGAGTTGGGGCTTTGTTGTTGTTCACATTTTTGTTTATTCAAAGACCTTTTTTGGAGAGTGCTTGCATTATATAATAACCCAAAAAATATTGTTGAAATTAGGATATTCACATTGAAACAAAATATTGTTTCATGGAATCCCTCTCAGTTTCAGGGGGAAAAAAAAAAAAAAGAAAAAAAAAATAAAAAAAAAATTAAACCAAACAAAACCCAACTGTATTGAATATTGAATATTTGACACCCACTAGAATGAACTAGATGAACCCTCAAAATGGGTTTGATGAACCCTCAACATTGGTTTTGATACTGCTGAGTCTTCTGAGACAACTCGAGGATCAAGCACACTGTCTGGCAATACAAGCTTTCCTTTCATAGGTTTTGCAGCTAGTGACATTAGCAGGGGTTTGTCCCTCTGAAGAGGGTGAATGCAACACTGTCTCAGCTGTGGAGATCTGCAAGTAATTGATTTTTCAGTTCACTGGCCAAACCAAAAAATAAAGACAATTAGCAGGAGGGGGGAAATAAATCACTATGAGCTGAAAAATTTATTTCACCTAAAATGAAATTCTGTAGTTTGCACTCAGATACTTAACCATTTTTATTATTTAAATATTGGCAAATTTCAAGCACCCAAAAATCAAACAATTGAAAACTACAAATTCCAAAAATAGTTAAAATATTTTGCTTTAAAAAACCCCATAAAACTATTTCCGTTTGGCACAAATCAGCACCTCCTGTTTATTTATAGAGTGCATTTTTCATCACGTACTCTATTCACCTGGAAATTTTGAATCAGCTCTGGTCACTTGCTGCTATTCAAAGTATCATTTTATCTAGAGTGACTAGTTATACTGTGATTCCTCTGAAGTGAGCTAGTTTAGTAAAATAACTCTTTTTATTATTAATATTACTTTCAGAAGCATGTGGGTATGCATCATACTGATCTTTTTAAAGTATTTTTTCATACATACTAGCATTTTGAAAAACATAAAGTCATACAAACTGATACAAGAAATTCTATTGAAGAATGTACCCGTCTGTATACCTAAAGGAGTAGATTTCTCTTTCTGCCATGTAGAATCCTGTGAAACTGCTATGATCATGCTGGACTAGGAAAATGCAGAGATAAATTTGCAATAACTTTCTGGCATCCATTATCTCTTTTCATTATTGTCCTTACATTCCATAAACAAGCTTGGTTTTCTGCTGCCTTCTTCCCTCCTGTCCCTCTGCTATTATCAACCTGCATTAACAGGCAGGTGGGCCCAGGTTACAGACCATGAGGTCCAGTCTGTACGAACAGAATCAAAATGTGCAACTTTGTGTAGACCTTACCCACATCAGGCCACAAGGATGCTAATGTGAGAGCCTCCAAGAACCCCACAACATAATACGCCTTTCCTCTTATGTCTAGAATATGCTGTAGCCCACAGGAAACAATTTAACTAATTTTTTTAATTATTTTTTTGTTTTTTTACTTACATAAAGCCTACTGAAAAAAAACAAGATCTGAACTTCAGCATTTAACACTGTGTAGCAATGAATTCCAGTAACCTGCTATGGGCAACACCTTCCGTGGATTATAAATTGCACAAGGCCAGAAGCTAAGCTTTTTATTTTAGTGACATGACCTACCTAATTGAGCTCTTTGGAATCCTTTGAGGTTTTATTCCAGTTGGTCAGACAAATTTGGATCTTTTTTTTTCCCTATTGAAAGCTGTTGAATCACTGAAAATTAAACCATCCAAAGCGAATGTTGCACTTTCTGTAAAGTTCTGGCCATTTCTAGTAGAAAGAAAGAACAAGAAATTGTCCACCTTGGCCACCTTGCTTATTACCAGCTGCCCATACCAAGTACCAGCCACACCAGTTACCAAAGCATCAGAAAGCCCAAGACTGGCAGCATCATTGCTTCAGAGATAACAAACAAGAAGCATACCCAGATCTCCTTCCTCTTGAGAATGGAGGAGATTTTTAATTTCTGTTTACCTAAGAAAAGTAAACAAAATGTTAAATATCCACAAGCTCTCTTTGTCTCCATGGGATTCTGGTATTCATTCTCAGGGTATTTCTACATGGCAAGAGTTTATCCCTGTTTTTCAGCTAGGAACCCAGAACAGGCAGCAGAA